GAGTGCATCTGCGGCCTTGGGCAACATGCAGGCTTTGTTTCCCAGAGTCTGGCTGGTGTTGAAGGCTGGCCTTTGTTCCCAGGAAGGGCGGGAGCCAGCAGTGCCTGCCTCTGTCCAGCTGATATCGATCCTGCCTCTGGCGTTTTAGGAGCATAATCGGAATTGGCTGCTTTCTGGCAAAGTTCCTGACTGCACTTAATCCAATGATGATATGATTTAGGGAGGCCAATAAAATCCTCCTCCGCAAGTGTTGCTTCCTCTCAGGCGCCCGCACAAAAGAGAAGGCAGGGCTGGTGAGCAGCCGTCGGATAGCTGCTCTCTGGGCGGCGGCCCCTGTTTGGGGGGCCCCTCCCCTCTGCCTGGACACCCTCCGAGGCAGGTCCCTGTCTAGACAGCTGCTGCCTTCTCTCCTGTATTCCTGCCCACCCCGGATGCGCCTGGTCTGTGGCCGCTCAGGAGCGGCAGCCTCGCGGGGAAGGCGGGCTTGGGGTGGCCCCTTCTTCCCTTGCCAACCCTTCGGGGAAGGCGTTGGCAGCCCCAGGACACCTGCTTCAAGGCCTGCGAATTGGAAGGGGCTGCAGGACTCCTCTCATGCAGGTAAGAGGCAAACAGTCGGGCTTCTGGGATGCTTCTCGCCTTGTAGAGGTTGTATCGTGATCATGGATTGCTTTAATGTTTCTTACAGGGTTGCAGTGAGCTTTGCCCCCCCCCCCGGCTTTCTTAAAGAAATTGAACGGATGCAGATAGCCCGTCCCTGCCAAGGTTGAAAGAGGGGTTCTGTGCTATGTGTTTAGTTTGGGCGAGAATACTTAACGGCTGTGAGAACAGAAGAGGGTGCATGGTGATTCTCTCTGAATTCGTGCTTTGGAAGAAGTGATGTCACATGGCTGAAGACAGGGGACTTAGCCCTCATGCAGTGACACTAAATGAGAAGTGACTGCAAAAGGAGGAGAAACTACTTCTGTTTGCTTGATCTTTGTGCTAAGAAAGCATAATTCCTCTGTGCGGACGGTGGCTGAAGGCAGCAGGAGCAGGCTTGGTCGCCCAAGCAGCCTCAGGGGATGCCAGAAGGGATGGAGCGTCTCAGGAAGGGGGGGGGGCAGGTGGCAAAGCGGCTTGTGGCGGCCGGAGGAGGAGTGCGGGATGGCTTCGGGGAGGCAGGAGATCGTGGTGGGGCAGGAACGTAAAAAGCTTTCCCTGCAGAGCAGTCGTGTGCTACAGGGCTTTTCTCCATCCCTGATAAACTAAGGAAGGTTTGTAAAAAGGTGAGTGTTAGTTACAACAACAAAAGAAGGCCTTCCATGAAAATAGATGCATTCTGAGTTTCTCCTGGCAACTGTGGATGCTTCCCGTGAATGGCTTCGGCGTCAGCTGAGGAGATGGCCGGCAAAAACGTGCTGGGGCCCTGCCCTTGGCCTGGCAGTTGAGGCACTTCTGAAACTGTTCCGCCAGTAGGCTTAGCTGGGGCAGTGACTTCAGGCCTGCCCCCTCTTCCCTCTCTCTCCCCCACGCACCAATCTGAACTTAGGTAGCTGAGGCAGAGATGCGGCTTTTCTGCTTGGGCTGTTCTTGTATAGCATCTGGAGGGTGTAAGTATATGTCTAGCAACATCCCCTTTCTAGACGGTGAATGCCCCTTCATGATTATATCAAGCATTCTAAGGCCGAACCCAAACAAGAGTACTAGGCTTAACCCTTTGCTTAATTTGGCTTAGGTCAGTTGGGGCACTTTTTTGTCTTAAGAGCTTTGAAATTGATCTAACTGATCACTCGGTTAAGCGTTGCAATCTCATTTATCTATTTCCTACTCATTTCCTATTTCCTGGTGAAGACGCTATGTGTTGTGACTGTGCTGGGCCAGAGTTAAGCCTTCTCGCCTTGAAACCCATGGATGTGAACTCTTTGTCGGAACCAAGTGTTCCTGAGCATGTTTGCATATTTACCACTGGCACTAATCATTGGTTGCCCATTGCTAAATATCTGGGGATATAGGAAGCAGAAATTTTCACTCAGATTCTTCAGGTTTTATTCTCTTTCCTCATCTCCTAGAAGTTCCTTCTCTGGACAGGGAGCGATCATATTTTAACTTTCATGTGCTCTGGTAAATTGAGGAGAATATGAAGTGTATCAAATCTACCTCCTATGGCATCTGCTACATCAAAAGGCCATCCCTATGAGTCAGTGTTCCATTGCCTGCCTGGCTCAGCTCAGTGGAAAAATGGGATATTTTGTGTATTATCTGTGCCTGTTCCAAGGGGAAGTCACCAGGTCCCTTCTGTGATGTGGCATGATGGCTGCTTGAGCAACAGGGTGTTTACATCCCTCTTTTCTTTCTCCTACCCCCCCCCCCCCCCGGGCGGGAAGGAATATCTCTTATAATTTGCTCCCGCTGAGCAAAGGAGACATGTTGGAACCTGACCAGCTCTGTTTGTTTCCTGAGCTAAAATCTTATTTACATCTGAACCTCAGTTGTTCAATTAAGCATTTCGGCTAGTGCGGGACAAGGAGCCAAGACAGGGAACGCCAGCAATCTGTCAGGTGTGGGTAAATACCGGCAGCAGATCTCAATTAGCTTTGGGCCCCTGAGCAACATTTGCTGAGGCCTGAAAGTCAAACAGCTCATTTGGAGGAGGAAGTGTGAGTCAAGTGGCTTGCAGAGAAATTGGTGGGGCCACTCTCAGGTTTGGGACATACGGATTGTAGGTGCTTCTGACTGCTATTTCTGGGTGAGTGATTTGCAGGTAATGCCATGTGAGGGAGTGATGCTCGGGGACTGCATAGTAGAGAGACAATCCGTTTCTCTACAAATAATGTCCGGATTAGGACCCCTTGTTGAATCTCTTCCTCTATGTTCCCATCACGCAGTAGGCAGGAATGACAGATTTGTTGCCAGTTTAAAAACGGATGGCAGGCTTCCTGCTTGTATTCAGCCCTCTTATTTTCCATCCTGTTTGTGACCAAACTCTCTGAGTTCAGTGATCTCTGCCCAGTTTACCTGCAAGGTCACCTAGTCTCTGCAACTGCTCCTCAGTGGCAGATGGCCTGTTTGCCTTATTAGAAGATGGTAACTGTATAGAGTAGCATCTTGGGAGTGCTTCCCCGTCCCAGCAGATATCAGGACCACTTTTCGGTGCCAGAGCTTGCAGCCCTGATTTTCCTTAAAATTTCAGCAGCCCTTATTTGGAGGTGAGGGGAGGCTACAGTTGGACTCTTTGGGGTGAAGAACTCTTTAATTTAATTTATTCAATTCAGACACTGGCCAACTCCACACAACTCTGGGTGGTGTGCAATAAAGCCAGCGGAATACAAACAGAACACAATAATGATAGAAGAATAAGCAACAAGAACTGATGGCTTGGGCATCCTCCTGAAAAGTGATTAGGGTTGCAGCTTACTGTTAAAAGGGGTGGGCGTCATTACAGTCCAAGGGAGTGGGTGGATTTGGCCTAATACTTGAGCCCTAGCACAAGAGGGCAAGGTGGACACGGTTGGCAGGCGCTTGAGCGCTGCAGTGGAGAGCACTGGCCTGCTGCGCTCATTTACGTAAGCATGATGCAAGCAGATTTTTAAAATGCTGGGGGCCGTAAACAGCGTTGAAAGTGACTGTGACTGTGGATGGCGGGTTTTTCTAACCACCTGATGTTCGTTCGTTCGTTCGTTCATTCATTTTAAATTTAGTCACCGCCCATCTCACTCAGCGAGCGACTCTGGGCAGTTTACAATAAAATAAGAATAAAAACCAATTAAAATACAATTAAAACAGTAATCAGAAATAAATAATATAATCCAAGGGATAGATTAAGTGGAGAGCAATAGGGGATTTGTGGCGTAAGTGTCTTAGAGAATGCAGATCGGACCACAGCACCTGCCCCCCCCTTTCCCCCATCCTTTAATCCTCCTGCGACCAGGAGAGCCAGGGAGCCTCTGTCAGCCCTAAACAAACTGATAGAAGCAGGAGCCAGACAGCAGGAACGATCTTGTTGGGTAGGGAAATCAACTTCCCACCCCCACTCCTTGCTGCCAGGCATGGCAGGCTCTCGGGAGCCCCGGCAGTGCCAGAAATGGAAGGAGAGGCACTGAGGTTCATGATCTAGAGAGCAGCATGTCTGTCCTCAGACTTACTCGCTGTAGAAGGCTTGGCGGCCTGCAGGAAGGACGCCAGGTGGTAGTTGTGCTACAGGCACGTGGCTGGAAAACACGGCCTCTTTCTGGAAGTGTTGGGCAGGTATTTCTAACCTCTTGCACTAGGACCCCCAGAAACAGATGGGTTTCTGAGAGGGGGGGCGGGCTGGGACAGGACATATCAGCCAGCAGGAAGCCATGCTTCTCAGGGCTTTCTTACAGAAGGGGGGTGTCCTTTGCAGCCAGTCTGTTCACAAACCATTTGCTTCTGCTGTCCAGCGGGGCTGCTGGTCTGTTGAAGGTTATCAGATGGGACCTTCTGCAGTGAACCCTCCTTGATGCCATTTTTGTAGCCTGGTGAACTGTGAGGCTTGGCTGTAGTGTAGCTTTCTGAATGGAAAGAATGAACTTTCCGCTAGATCTGAAAAATGGTAAAGGAAATCTGGCAATCCCTCTGTTTCATCCCAAGGACTCTGTTTCTTTTACCAACTGCTTGACAGGAAGTATGAACAGATGCTGCATTCCCTATTGACATGTCTCCTCGCTGGGGGAAAGCAGCGCCAAGGAGATTTCTGCCTTCGGAAAGCACTCTTGTCACCCCGTCTGCCTACAGGCCCATCTGGCTGCTCAGCCAGGCACATCCTCTGATTCCTCCCCTTTCATGGCAAACAGGCCACTGCCACAAAAGGAAGAAAGGAGGGCAAGGCAAAGGCAGGCCTCCCCTTTCTTCTCAGCAGACCTTGGTGCAAAGTGTGAGAAAAGGTCCCTCTCTCCTCAAGCCCTTTCTGATTGCTGCCTAGGAGGCTTGGGGCTGGTCAAGTGGTCTTTTCTCTCCTTGTCTGCACTTTGGTTTGGAAACATGGAAATGTCCCATTATGAACTATTCCAAGGTGTTATCTCTGAGAAGGAATTCATGGGGGGGGGCACGATTAAGAGAAAGTTTCTGAATTCGTCAGGCTGGGGTAGTGTAGAATTTGCCTGCTGGCAAACAGCCCCCAACACCGTGCCTCTGTGGTTGAGTCAGGCACAAACTCCTTGTAGGTGGCTCGCTCAACCACCATGAGGTTGCAGAAGCCAAGCATCCAGGCGTCTGCTCTAGACACTTAAAAGACCAGACCATTCCCAGTCTCTGTCTGGGAGCATCCATATCCTACTGCAGCTTCTTTGCCAGTTCCTTCTTTTCTTACGGCGCAATTGATCAGAAAGGGGAGGGCCTTCTTCCTGGTGGTCTTTTGACAGTGGTTTACAAGGCATTGGGCATCCAAGTGGACTGAAACAGGTGGAAAACAGGGCCTTAAAGAAGAAAACATCTGCAGAAAATAATTTGGAAGCAGGAGGGTCTTTCACACAAAATTTGGGAGCAAATACTGTGATATCAGAGGATCATTGCTTGCAGTTAGAACAGATGGTAGTGACCTCAGTCTGAGCAGCTGATTAAATATAAGGAAAGTGCAATATATGCTGGCCTGTATGCTGGTTAACGTTAATGCTCTGTGCCACATTTTTATGGTTGCATAATACGGAATTGGGGGGGGAGTTCTGTGCAAGGTCTGGGATGGGAGGTGGGTGTCTCTGAAGGAGTAGTCTTTGTGGTGTGACCAACTATGTCCCTTATTTGAAGGAAATGCTCCTGATGTATTTGGGATTCAAGGGACAGGTCGTCCACATGTACTTAAGCATCTGCTGCTGTTCTAAGACATCAGCCTCTGCTTGACCTTTCCAGTATTATTTGGGACACTGGAGCCTTTCTACCCCATTTCCAAACATACGGTTGGCCCTTTTTCCTTCCTCTTTGTTTCTCCCAGATGCTTGAGCCAGAAGCTGAGAAGCTAGGGGCAGTGCCATCCGCGGGGGAGGATGACAGCAGCCGCCTTGCCTACCCTGTGGTGGAGGACTCAGTAGTGGGGCTGACAGAGGATGCTGTGGCAGAAGTCCAGGGTATCCCTACGGAACAGGGGAAGCAGACGTGCCATCTCGAGGGGAAGGAGCAGGAGGTGCCCTTTGCCATCCCAAAGTTGCAGGTGGACAGTACTTTTAGCCAAGACCTGACATGCCTCACCAGCCTCAAGCTCAGTGGCCCAGTGGAATTGGCTGATGAGGAAGAAGAGGAAGAAGAGGAAGAGGAGGACAGCGATGAGGCCTATCTGACCCGGGCGGAAAGAAAACGCTGCAGCTTGTTTGAAACGTCGGCGTGTAAGTCAGCTTGCAGCCTGAGTGTGCAGAACTCGCTGCGCCGTCGGACTCATAGCGAAGGCAGCCTTCTCCAGGAGCCCCGAGCTGGCCACTGCTTCACCTCTGACACCAGCCTGAATTATACTGAGATGCAAGGACCCACCCCTGGCTGGACGCTGCCTTCTCCCCAGACCCTCAAGAAACAGCTTATGAAGAATGGGGGCTCCATCCACCAACTCACTCTGCTCTTTGTTGGGAATCGGAAGGTAGGCAAGCCAGAGCGTGCGTACGTGTGTGTGTGTGTAGAGGAGGGAAACCTTGGAAAACACCAAATCTCCCCATTTCCATATTGGTGTAATAATGGGGGCAGTTGGGAGTACTTTGGGAACAGTTGTGCTAGAAACAGTCGCAGAAGGTCCAGGCTGGGGATTATCTTGGATTTTGATACCATGCTGCTGTCTCTGCTGCCTGCTGGGTCTGCTAGGGCCTTGTGCTACGCATGTGGTTGCTTCAGGCAGGCCCCTTTCGGGGATCCAGGTAGACAGCTGGGGCTCAGAGTGAAGGGCTGGACGACCTCATGCCTAAGACGTAGCACTATGCGTTGGGCAGTGCCGCAGGAGAGCAGCAAGAAAGCTCCAGTGGACTTTCTCAGCACCCTGGGAATCCCAGTTTTCAGGTTTATTTAGAGAGCCTGAAAAATACATTCCTAGTCTTTCAAGTGGTGACAACAGATTTTCTGGACCTTCTCACAAGCAGGTCCTTTCTGATATGACACTGTCTTCTTTCCTTGGATCTCACAATTGAAAGCTACAGAAGTTTAGGTCCACTATATTATGTACCATGTTTATTTTCCAGATAATGCAAATAGAATAGTTTGTCATCTTGACCAAAGACAAAACCCAGTGATTCTCTTATTCTGTCTAGGATGGCAGCTATAGACTCTTGTAGGGCAGGGATGGCAGCAGTTAATCTCTCTGCATCGTGTAGTGGATCCATCTGCTGAAACCCAGGCTTGGTAGAACTCTTGGCCCCGAGGTTCTGTGTATCTAACCCAGTTAACAACAGGAAGCTTCAAGAAATGGCCACTGCCTGGAACTTACAGTACTCTCTGATTTGCAGATGAGCTTCTAACGTTACAAATGGAAATTCCGCCTCGCCCCTCCTCAAAGGTACTAGAAGTGTGCTTCTGACCTCCAGCGGAGGCAGGAGACTTAACAGCGAGTGCACAGAGACAAATGTAAAGAACAGCTTGAAAGGCTTGCCTGAGAATTAACTTCCTATTCAGTAAAACAAAACCCTTAGGGGGAATAGGCTAAAGAGAAACTGATAGACAGTGTTCCCTCCCTCTCAAATATCTGGTAAATTTTGACTTCATTTTGTTCTCCTTTGCCCTTCATGCTGCTGAACTAATTGTGTTGCTCAGCTCTTCATACTATTAGTATTTATTTAGAATATTTCAGTGCATCAGTTTATTTAAAATATTTTTATCTAATTTCTGTTTAAAAAGCACTCAAAGTAGCTGTTAAAAACGACTGGGATATAAGATGTTGCCTGAATGCTGCACTGTCAGTTGAAGGAAGCATTTTTTGTGGTTCATGTATTCGGAGCACAAATGGCCCAGTGAACCTGTTTGATGTGAGACTGTTTTTTTGCCTTTGAGTTTGCTATTCATTGTCCCTGTAGGGCCTTTACAGCTGAGACTGTTGACTCTGTAACATTGTGGAGGGCCCCGTGGCTTTATGATCTCTCCTATTCCTCTCAGGTCATTCATAGGATTCCCATTTTCTAGACAGAGAAACTGAAGTCAAGGATGGTCGATGAAGTTAGCGAGGCCATGACTAGCCGGGATGTAGATCAGATTATTGTATCAGTTTCCACCCTGCCCAGAAGTTCATGAGGCCAGCTTAAGATTTACTGGCTGCGTTGGCGTAACGTGCTGAGCTGGGTTAGTATTCCCCTTTGCGGTTCCTTGGTGCACTGTGTTTTTCAGAATCCCAGCAGGTAGCACCACCTGCGCAACTCGTCTGGGCTTGGAAGCGAGGCAGAGTCAAGTCTGGTTAGCGGGAGACCCCCTCGGGTTGCAGGCCAGGCTCAGAAGCGGCAGGACATTCCTAGGGGGCACCTTCAGAGGGCGACCCCTAGCCCACCCTGGTTGACCTCAGAAAGTGAGGCGGGTGGACCTTGACTGGGTCTGCCCGGAGGGCCCAGGGGGCTGGCGGTTGCCCCTGCAGCGGGAGAACGCTATTGGGCGTGCCTGAGATGCTGAAGGCCGGGCCCTGAGTTGCAAGGTGGATGGGCAGCTTCCCTGTCCAGCCTGGCCGTGTTCTTGCTGACAGCAGCCTGTGGCTTGTCAGGCCGCTGCTAAAATAGGACGGGAGCAGCGGGACCTGAAGCCTGTGCGATGTATGGGGGCTCTGGAGGAAGGGAGGGGCCCTTTGCAGGGCTCCTGGCTGGCCAGTGTGGCTGCTGTCTCGCCTCCCTTTGTGTCCGTCGCACACGAGGCGTGCTGGCTGCCCCCTAGTGGGTGTGTCTGAAATGACTGGTTGTTCCAAATAGAGGGGAAAGGAGCTCTTTGATCCTTGGACGTTTTGCTTCTCTGGTAAAGTTTGCTCCGAAATGCCGAGAGATGCTTGGCTTCTGGAGGGAGATTCAGCAGACGTGTGTGGTCTTCCAGAGCAGAAGAGAATAGGCGGCCTTTTCAAAAGCAGCGTCCCTCGAGCTTGTGCTCTACTTGGGGAGAGGTGGAGGGGCAGGGACAGAGAGTAACAGCAATTTCAGCGGGGGGTTTGGGGTCTTGGGCAGAAAAAAAGTCTTTCCCGTTAGGTGCTCTGAGTAGGCAGGCATGTCTCTGGCATTAAGCTGTGGACCTTTCCTTAACTGGATTCATCAGAGGCTCCAGACTGAAGAAGGAAGGAAACTGCCTGGGGCCAATTTGTAGGTGGCCCTTATGAAATACGGACAAGAATGCCAATCCTGCTAGGTTTCATTCGGCAGCGAAGCAGAACGAAACTGCAGAGACCAGCCCTCTTTCCCAGAGCTGAGGCCCACTTCCAGTCCTACTCCTGTCATTTCCTGTGGAGCCCACACCACAACACGGATTGTGAGCAGAATAATCCCATGTGCCAAGCCGAACGGTCTGCCTTCCATGCTGGCGAGGCCCACTGTGGTGGCTGAGGCCATCCCTGGACAGCTCCTGCCTGGAAGCGGAGGACCCCCCTCCCAACAATGGGAGGAAATGGGCTTGAGACGGTCTGGCGCACCCAGAAGGCCCAGGAATGTACTTGCCAGGCAGAGAGAGTGCTGGGCCTGATAAGACCCGGAAGCCTCACCTAGCAGTAAAGGAAGCGTTGGAGAGCTTGGGCTCTTGACCAAGGCATGGTTTCCCACGATTTGCCTCGGTTCTGGGTGGAAGGGGTGGCGGGGTGCGGCAAAGAGATTCCCCAGCAAGTTCCTCTGGAGAACCTGCAAAAAGGGCGCAGTTCTGTCCGGCAAATAAATACTGTTCTCGAAAGGATGGTTCATTTGTTTTACGGTGTTTGTAAACTGCCCCAACCCATTCAGATTCTTGGCAGTGGACAATGAAGGAAGAATAAGCCAAAGAGGACAGTAACAAATGATTGAAAACAGTAACTCCATTCATGTTTCTTCATGTCTCTCTCACTTGAATTTACCTGGATTCTGCCCCC